TCCGTTATTGAATATTATAGGTGTTTAAACTCAGCAAAATATTCTAAAACAGAAGTGTTGGGTTTTTTTCTCCAAATGCCTTCAAGGCATGACTGGCTGTCTTGTGTTGTGGGGATCAAACCACAGCAACCTGAGCCTGACTGCTTTGTTGAAGCAGCCACTTAAAGAACTGAGCTAAGGGGCAGGCCCCCTGTGCAGTTTCTATTATGAAGAAGGAATACAATAGCTTTTGAACTCCAGATAATGTGTGGTATGGCTTCAAAGACAGTTTGTCTGAAATTTATATACAGATTCAATACAATCCTGATCAAAATACCATTAGTATACCTCAGAGGACTAGAGAAAACATTCCTAAAATTCATCAGGAAACAGAAGAGGCATAGAACAGCAAAGGCAATCTTGAGCAACAAAGGAAAGACAAGAGGCATAACAATCCCTGACTTGAAATTATACTGCAAACTACTCTGATAAAATCAGTATGGTAAGGGGGATACAAATGAATGACCATTTTGTATCTGTATACTCAAAATAATTAGGATAGATATACAGTTCCATTCTCTTAATTCAATGAACAAAGAGATTTGTTCTAATAGTGTTTGAGACAGGATATCAGGTCTGCATCTTGTAAAATTAATAACCACTAAGACAACAATATGCAATGTATTAATTATTGAAAATGTACTAGTAATAGATTATGAAACTGTCTCAATAAAATATTAATAATATTATTTTTAAAAATAATAATGACAAAATCAGCATGGTACTGGCAAAAAGAAAACAGACCTCACGATGAATGAAACAAATTAGAATATGCAGACATAACAAACATACTCAGCCACATTATCTTTCACAAAGGGGTCAAATATGTTCACTGGAAGAAAGATATCCTCTTTAATAAATGGTGCCAGAAAAACTGACTTTGTACAAGCAAAAGAATAAAATTGGACCCACACTATCAAATGCACTAAACTAAAGTAAAATGGATCAAAGATTTAAATATTAAAACAGAAATACTAAAGCTACTGGAGGAGGGCCAGCAAGATAAGTCAGCATACTAAGTGCCTACTTAGGCAACCACAAGGAAAAGTGTTCATCCCTGGTACCACACACTGCACCAGCCCCACCCCTGGGCATGCTGAGCCAGCCACTGAGACCTGATGTGATGATGCATGCCTGTAACTCCAGAACTGGGGAAGCTAAAAACAGGAGGATCACTGAGTCTGAGATGTGTAGTGAGACCCTATACCAAATACACTTTTTAAAAATGAATAAATCTACTGGAGGAGAAAGAAAGTAGAAATCTTAAAGACATAAGGATAGGTAAAGTTCATGAACAAAAACAAACTGTACAGGAAATACTTCAAAGAATTGACAGGGATCTCATATTTTTGAAAAGTTCCTGCACATCAAAAGAAATTGCCAAGAAAATAAAAATAAAAACCACAAATTTGAAAAAATTTAGTCAAATATCCCTCAGATAAAGGACTTCTATCTAGAACATATAAGGAATTTTAAAAGTTCATGTCCCCAAATTTCAAAGACCCAATCCATAAATGGGCATTTGGGATGAATATACACTTCTCAAAGGAAGAAATAAAAATGACAAATAAATATATTAAAAATGTGCAACATCGAGGTTAAGCTTCAT